ATGCCACTTGCCGGGAGGTAACATTTCCATAAACGTACCACGTGGACACACATACCAACCAACACACACACACACCCATTCATCATTAATAGTCGAGCCTATTAGAGCGAAGACCACATTCAATGAAAACTTGTGAAAATTGCATTTCATTTTGCATTCCCTTGGCGTCTTTTTGTTGTCTGTCATAGCGTAGCGGTATGGTAATGTTAACTGAATTATATTGGTGGCTGCTGATGTTTGATGTTGTTGCTGCAATGTTCATACTAAGCATTTAGCTTCCGTTTTCGCCGTGTATGAGTGTGTGTTCCTATAACTGATTTCATATTGCACTGACGACAAACTGATATTCTGTTATAAAAACTCGGTCCTCTTTTCCCAATTGCTGCGCACAAATTAAGTTATCAACCGCATCAGTCAGTCAGTCAGCCAGTCCATCATCAGCATCCTTATCATCGCAGCCTGTTAACGTTCATATTTGTATGTTTTATCACATTTTTATACCCTTCACCACACTGTGGTACAGGGTATTATGTCTTTGTGCATATGTTTGTAACAGGCAAAAATAATCGAGATAGACCCATGGTTCCTTTTGAGAATATGCATAGAATCACTTTCTAAGTCGATTTATGCATGTCCGTCCGTCCGTCCGTCCGTCTGTCTGTCCATGTTAAATTGTAAACAAAGTCGCATTTATGATCCGAATTGGATGAAATTTGGCAAAGGTCACTTATTCGGCCCAAGGACGAACCCTATTGAAATTGGGAAAAATCGGTTCAGATTTAGATATAGCTCCCATATATATATTTAACCGATTTAATGTAAACGGTCCCTATATATCTTTCGATTTGCACGAAATTTGGTACAGGCTAATCATTTAGGCCTATAATGATGTCTGCCAAGTTTCGTGAAAATCGGTCCAGATTTAGATATAGCTCCCATATATAGTTTCGTCCGATTTCAGGTAAGTGGTGCCCCAAAGTCCCTATATATCTTTTGATTAACACGAAATTTGGCATAACGTACTGAATTAAGCCTAGAGTGATGTCTGCCAAGTTTCGAGAAAATCGGTCCAGATTTAGATATAGCTCCCATATATAGGTTCGTCCGATTTCATGTAAATGGTGCCCCAAATTCCCTATTTATTTTTTGATTTGCACGAAATTTGGCATAACGTACTGAATTAAGCCTAGAGTGATTTCTGCCAAGTTTAGAGAAAATCGGTCCAGATTTAGATATAGCTCCCATATATAGTTTCGTCCGATTTCATGTAAATGGTGCCCCAAAGTCCCTATATATCATTCGATTTCCACGAAATTTGGCATAACGTACTGAATTGAGCCTAGAATGATGTCTGCCAAGTTTCATGAAAATCGGTCCTGATTTAGATATATCTCCCATATATAGTTTCGTCCGATTTCATGTAAATGGTGCCCCAAAGTCCCTATATATCTTTCGATATGCACGAAATTTGGTACAACCTAATCATTTAGGTCTAGAATGATGTCTGCAAAGTTTCGTGAAAATCGGTCCAGATTTAGATATAGCTCCCATATATAGTTTCGTCCGATTTCATGTAAATGGTGCCCCAAAGTCCCTATATATCTTTCGATTTGCACGAAATTTGGCATAACGTATTGAATTGAGTCTAGAAGGATGTCTGCTAAGTTTCATGAAAATCGGTCCTGATTTAGATATATCTCCCATATAGTTTCGTCCGATTTCATGTAAATGGTGCCCCAAAGTCCCTATATATCTTTCGATTTGCACGAAGTTTGGCATAACGTACTGAATTGAGCCTAGATTGATGTCTGCGTTGTTTCGTGAAAATCGGTCCACATTTAGGTATAGCTCCCTTTTATTATAGATTGATTTTAAGTACTTGACGCACCAAGGAACCAATAGGAACAAAACGTTCTGAAATTAGTATAACGTATCCTGTGACAAGTTTGTTCGAAATCGCTTAATATTTGGCCCGATTTCAAGTAAATTGGGCATCAAACTCCTCATGTTAGTCAGTTTGACATCAAATTTTGCACAACGTACAAAATTGAGCATAGAATTATGTAGTTTCGTTTTCTAGAAGTACAGACATAGCCCAACGGATGACCTATTTATATTTGTTTGAAGTCGATTTACATACTTTATGGATAGATCTACGTAGATTCACATTTAGATAAATATCACATATTTTATTTCATTCAAGTTCATGCTAATAGTCCTGTTTAATATACCCATAGTGGTGAAGGGTATCATATAGTCGGCCCCGTCCGACTTTACTACTTTCCTTACTGGTTATTTTTATGCTTTGCTTTCGTGCAAATGCATTTGTAGTGTTTGCACTGGTGTTTGTTAATAGTGCTTGTAAATTGATTTTATTCCACAATTAGTTTAAACAACATTATTAATTTAATATTTAATATCTTTTTTTGCACAAGTTTTAATTTATATGAGGTACAAATACAAATTAGTAACAAATGAAAAAAAGGGATAACGTAGCAAGAAGAAGGTACGAATGCAACTATTTTTTATGAATTGAAATATTTTTTTTTGGAAATTTACAGAACAATAAACGTTGAGTTTATTAAGACTTCCAAAATTATAAGCTTGAATTTTACATTGATATTTTAACTATACTTGTGGTTTATTAAAGAAGAAAGATGTTTTCAAAGAATCTCTGGATTTTTGAAAGAAGGATTTAAAGACATTCTTAACTCTAAACCAGTAAGGAATGTAGTAAAGTCGGACGAAGCCGACTGATGCATCCATATAAACGTCACATTTTTGAAGAGCCATTAACATGATATTGTATAAACTGAAATATTGGATATTTATCTAACTGTGAAACGACTTAAATCAATTATAGACATGCCATTCTGCAACCTATCCTACGTTTTTCATATGGATAGCTAGATAAATCGGACAAAATAAAATACGCGATTTAAGGGAACCTCCCCCCCATTCACGATTTAAATTTTTCGAGATTTTCAATACCAATGCTTGTTAAGGTTTGTAATTCTGCACAAATATATTTGAAGATTTAAAAGAGAAGAAAAAATAATTTACAAAAAAATTGATTATTGTTTTGTTGTTGTTTTTTGTAATTAAATAAAAGTCCTTATTTTTGATGGCGGGCATGATAACTCCTCACTGGAACGTCGGAATCCGAAAATTCCAACGGTGTTAGGAAGAGTACATGTCTGGCTCTCGTATGAACAAGGATTATTGATTTCGCTCTAAAATTAACAAAATGGTGGACCTTAAAAAAATATTTTTGAAAAATCGTCGATTTTTGACCAAAAACCAAGTTAAAAATAAGGAAGTTCTTCACCGATTGGCTTTATCCTAGTTCATACGATAGCTATACACTCCCAGAGAAACACGTACAAATCTGGAATCGATTGGGTTATTAGTTTTTGAGTTATCGTACCCGTCATTCGCAAAACCAATGTTTGGAGAAAAACACATTTAAAGTTTGAAAAGCCCTTCAGCCGTCACTTGATGCTGACACAATAAATCGGCTAAATCTTCAAGAATACTTGAGATTTTCACTTGAAATCTTGTAGGGACATTCTTGAATTAAAAACGGACGAAAATATATTTGTACGCTGTGCAAAATTGTGTGTCAATCGGCCATATTTTGGAGCTTCGGTGCTCCATTTATTGAAAATCGGAAGAAAATATATAAGGAAGATATATCTATATTTCTGAACTGATTTCATAGAATCTTTCCACACAGTAGGATATACAAATTTTGTGTCAATCGTATACTTTGGACGAAATCGAAATCGGACGAAGCAATATATGGGAGCTATGCAAATCTGAGCATATTTCAGCAAAACTTGACACACACTATGTAACTTCAGTACGTTGTACAAAATTGTGTCAATCGGCCATATTTTGGAGTTTTCATGCACCATTTACTGAAAATCGGACGAAACTATATATGGGAGCTATATCTAAATCTGATACGATTTTCCCCAATTTTCAATTGGGTTCTTCCTTGGGCCAAATAAGTGATATATTCCAAATTTCATCCAAATCGGATCATAAATGCGACCTGCACTTTGTTCCCAAAAATACATGGACGGACGGACATGCATATGCACAAAGACATAATACCCTGTACCACAGTGTGGTGAAGGGTATACAAATTATTAATCTCTGACTTTTAATCCTTCATGGATTTTTTACGTAAAATTTCAAGGTAACTTTGAGAAATACTTTGGATTCTTTCAGATAATTTTGGAAGGAAACTATGAAATATTAAACAAAAAGCACTCATAGAAGAAATATTCAAGGAATCTCTGACCTATTCGAGTGATCAGAATGAAATTATATGTGGAATAAGCCACGATAGAAATCGCAATATTTAAGGGAGAACTCCTAGAATGTTTGGTATTTATTAAAAATGGGATATATCGGTCTACGTTTCCGTATAGGCCTTATATAACATTCGGTAGTTGGGGGTTCTTAGGAACAGGTTTCAATCGAAAGGCCTATAATTTGGCAAATTTGGGGACTTTATTTTTATTTATTTAATTTTTTTCGTTTTTACCGGATATCCCTACCAATGTGTTTGTAAAATTTCTTGGAGGGTGGAAACCATTTTCGCGGGACATATTCTGTATAAGACCAAGTTTTGACTAAGTCTTAGTTTCCATAGCAATTTCACAAGATCGCCCGATTGAAAACGGAGATAATCGGTGTGGATAGTCCCACATATATTGTCGTCAAATTTAACTTAAATGGAGTTCCAAATACTCAAAGTTTCTTAATGGTACATATCACACTTAATGATTTATCAATTTTCAAGTTTCATATATTTTTGTTTTCCGATTCTCCTAAGATCCACGTTTATCTGAAAACACTTTGATGTTTCCGTTCCTCCTTAGACCTTCCGTTACTGATTTCAAGATTCTGCGCAGGAACATTTCAGAAAAAAATTTGCATGTATTAATTTAATATATTATTATTGAAATGTTCGTAATTACAATTTTGTATCAATATTTCAACTTCAAACGTTCATACAGCGGAACTTCAGTGGCCGTTTGGGCCTTGGTCTTCTCCCGGAACATACCCGATTTGACTAAGTAATGCGGTCGTGGAAGTTCATTTTGTTGCTTATAAAAATCGACCAACAATTTCGTGGATCGTAAATGGGTTATGCCCTTAAATAGCTTCTCCATTGTCAGCAATTCATCAGGAAATACCGTTTGAATGGGTTCATCAAACTCTGAAGGTTGCCATGGTCGATCTTTGACGGGAATGGTGCGACCAAATGCCACTGTTACAATTTTCTTGGGAACATTTTTCAAACGATTTTTAATATAATTTTCATATTTCAGCTCAATTGCCATCTGGAGGAGAATAGCGGAAGTAAATATATTAAGGGATGTTATCATTATTTGGGGAGGATTTCTTTGCTAACTCACCTCTGGCACATTCCATTTGTCTGCCACAGTTTTGGCTATGGCTTTCACCTCTTTGGGTTCGGTTATAATCGATGCTAACAGTCTACGTTCACCTTCAATGGAAAACAAAGCTTTCAGCTTTTCTTTGGAAATATCCGAATCTCTATTGCTGCCCAGTGAATTTATCCATGTGGTAAAGCGTTCAGCTGACTGGAAGAGGTGGCGCTTTGGTTTTAGTTAAGGGTTGTTAACCAAACTAAGCATTACTCACCGCATCCATAAGTTGTTCTGCCTGTTCGTCCAGTGACTTCTCCCATATACTACATTCCATATCGTAAATTTTGGAATCCCAACAGACACGTTTTTTACGTGGCTTACATATAAACGTTGATGGCCAGTTATTTTTCTTTTTTGGCTTGCCTTTGTATTCCAGAGGTTTTTCCAAATTTAAAACAAACTTTGGATATTCATGTTCAAGTCTCTCCACTTCGGAACATGTACTTTCATTGAAGTCTTCGGGCTAGAAATGTGAGAATATCTAAATGACAGAACCGAACAGCACCTTCGCAACAACCTACCTTTCTCTTTTCCTTTTCACCTTCCTTCTCGTCATCATCATCCTCTTCATCATCCAGTTGTAGTGGTGCTTCAACTGTTGATTCTTCAATGAAAACATTTTTATCGTATTCATCAAATTCATATGGCAAAATCTTAGCAACCCTTTTCTTCAGCGACTTCGGCAATGTCAGCGAGAAGTCATATTTTTTGATTGCCTCCTTGCGAGTCTTCAGCATAGATTTCTTTTCAATTTCACCCACAACACGTGTCCAGTAAGAATTTTTGGCCGTCAATGACATTTTCTATAGAATTAAAATTATTGTCGTTTAAAATACGATTTATATAAAAATTTCTCAATTTATTGACTCCTCTTGTCAGTTTGTTTATTTTGACTACAAAACTGGTTGTTATGGAATTCAAAAATGTTCTCTATGGGAATTTTGAATAGACGTTTTTAGGTCAGTAGCTTTTTCTGATACATATCTTGCCTAATTGTGCGGGGAAGACTATGTTTTACTTACGTAAACGCTTTTTCAGTTGTAAAGCGTTAACAAAACTTTTTGAAACTTTGTTTGAGCTTTTATCAACGGCAAGCTTAAGAGGATTTGCAAAGCTTCAGTGGCTATTCACCAACAAAGTTCACAGCTTAACACTATATATGATGTACAGAGGGCATTAGTGATTCGTTTAACATGTTTGGGAGCTTTTGGTGTTAGTCAAAAATATATAAACTTTTTAGTATTTGTTTAATATATATCTTCAAGATGTAATGTGTGAAAAAATCCCTACATATCCTAAATCAAAACCAGCAAGGAAAGTAGTAAAGTCGGGCGGGGCCGACTATATGATACCCTTGGCCACTTTGAGTATATTCTACATATGGGTAATATAATTTTTTTTAATTCCATAAAAACAATTGTTTTGATTTAATCTCTATCAATAAATGAACCGACTAACATCAAACCATATACATGCTTTTCTGCAACCTATGCTAAATTTCAATGGGACTAATTTGGGTAAATCGATTTATAGCACACTTGAAACACACTATTCGATAATATCAATCAGACACCCTTCCGAAATATATATGGAAGCTATGTCTGCATCTGCACCCATTACAAAAAAGCGCAATCAATCTAGTCTCAATTGAATACGTTGAGCAAAATTTCGTGTCAATCGGAGGATTTTGGTGCACCATTTACCTAAAATCGGACGAAAATATATATGTGGCAGATATATCTAAATCTGCATTTTCAGGAAAAATAACACACATCATTCTAGTCTTAAGTCAGTCAAATTTCGTGCAAATCGAACGGTATATAGGGACTTTGGCACACCATTTACCTTAAATCGGAAGAAAACATATATATGGGAGCTATATCTAAATCATAACCAATTTTCACGAAATTTAACACACATCATTATAGACTTAATTCAGTACGCTATACAAATTTCGTGCAAATCGAAAGAAATGTAGAGGCTTTGGTACAACCTTTACACAAAATCGTACGAGAATATGTATGTGAGCTATATCCAAATCTGAACCGATTTCCACGAAACTTGGCAGACATGAATCCAGACCTAATTTAGAACGCTGTGTCAAATTTCGTGCAAATCGAAAGATATGTAGGGTTTTGGGTGCACCATTTACATTAAATCGGACGAAAATATATATGGGAGCTATATCTAAATCTGAACCGATTTTCACAAAATTCAGTACGATATGCCAAATTTTCGTGCAATCGAAAGATATATAGGGACATTACTGCACCATTTACCTTAAATCGGACGAAACTATCTATGAAAACTATAACTAAATCTGAACCGATTTTCAGGAAACTTAGCACACATTTTTCTAGGCTTATTTCATTAAGCTATACCAAATTTCGAGCAAATCGAAAGATATATAGGGTCTTGGGTGCACCATTTACATTAAATTGGACGAAAATATATATAGGAGCTCTATCTAAATCTGAACCGATATTCACGAAACTTCGCACACATCATTCTAGGCTTAATTCAGTACACTATGCAAATCGCAAGATATATAGGGACCTTAGTGCACCATTTACCTTAAATCGGACGAAAATATATATGGGAGCTATATTTAAATATATATTTTCACGAAACTTAGCACACATCATTATGGGCTCAATTCAGTACGTTAGTAGGCTTATTTCAGTAAGCTGTACCAAATGTCGTGCAAATCGAAAGATGTTTAGGGACTTTGTTGCACCATTTACCGTAAATGGGACGAAAATATATATGGGAGCTATATATAAATATTAACTGATCTTCACGAAATTTAGCACACATCATTCTAGGCTCAATTCAGTACGCTGTGCAAAATTTCGTGCAAATCGAAAAATATTTGGGGACTTTAGTGCACCATTTACTTTAAATGGGACGAATATATATATATATATATATATGTACCGATGTTCACGAAACTTAGCACACATCAATTTAGGCTCAATACAGTACGCTGTGCCAAATTTCGTGCAAATCGAAAAACATTTCAGGACTTTGGTGCATCATTTACATAAAATCGAATGAAAGCATATATGGGAGCTATATTTAAATCTGAATCGATTTTATCCAATTTTAATAGGGTTGGTTCTTGAGGCCAAACAAGTTGCCTGTGCCAAATTTCATATAATTCTGATTATAAATGCGACATGCGTACTGTACTGAGTGTAAATTTTGTGAAAATCGGTTCGGATTTAAATATAGCTCACATTTTCGTAGAAATCGGTTCAGATTTAGATCAGATTTTAGGTAAATGGTGCACCGAGTGACACGAACTTTTGCCTAACGTATCAAATTGAGACTATAATGACGTTATTGTTGAAATTGGTACAGATGCAGACACAGCTTTCAGATGTATTTCAAAAGGGTGTCTGATTGAGATTAAAAGATTATCAAGTTTGCTCTAAATCGATTTACATACATTTGTCCCATTGTAGGCAAACGACTCTAAACTTGCCCAAATGAAATTAAATATAGCATAGGTTCCAGAAAGGCATAAAGATCACATATTCAAGTTCGTTCAATTTCATGTCAATGTTCTTTCGAAAAGGCGACGTCTGTTAGGAGACATATATAGAATATAGCCAAAGTGGTGAAGGGTATCATATAGTCGACCCCGTCCGACTTTTAAAATTTCCTTACTGATCAGTGGATAGATTTACCACCCAATAAGAACTTAAAGTACTAAATTGCAGGTAATTCGGGCGAAAAATAGGTCAAAACTCCCCCAAAAACTTAATAATTTGGGTGTACCGTTATAGAATAAGTGGACCTATATTTATAAGGTTTTATGGAGAACCCAATGTACCAAATTTCAACGAATTCAGTTGAAAAACGCGGTCAAGAATCCCAAAATACCGAAAATTAGGGGTTACCTTATATGGGAGCTATGCCTAAACGTGGACCGATACATCCCATCTTCGAACTTGACCTGTCTGCAGACAAAATACGACCCTATGCAACATTTGGCGATCTATCTCAATTCGTTTAGAGGCTAGAGTGAATCCAACCGACAGACGGGCATGCTTTGATCGTTGCATTTTACGCTGATCAAGGATATATATACTTCATAGGGTCGGAAATAATTATTTCGATGTGTTACAAACGCAAAAACAAAATTAATATACCCTCCATACTATGGTGTACTTTTCGAAGTTAATTTTAATTTTGCGACCGGAAATGCAAGTACGTATGACTGTGTTGATCAAAATCGGTTTATATATCTGTAAAAATCATATAATTAATGTCGTCCGAGTTCATGTCAATGGTCCTCCAAAGGTTCTATCGAGGGTCCATAGTATGTTTGATTTGAATATTCGCAAAGTGGTAAAGGGTTTTATATTGTCGGCCCGTCCGACTTTACTACTTTCCTTATTGGTTTTCTAATGGTACACAGATGCCCTACATGTATTCGATTAATACAATTACACACGAAGTTAACTGCACAGCATAGTCACTACGTCGAAATTTTGAATTGGCTACCGACTAAGTTCTTTAATTTTTTGTTCAAACCAGCTTTGATTAAGTTGTACACCAAAGACCCCCGTGCGACCAATTAACACAAAATGGGCCATAGTCTCCCAAATAAAGTCTAGGTCAAGGTATGCTTTAAATCGGCCCTAAACTACAACTACAAATATTTTAAACAATTTAAAAAGTTGATGAGGTGGATATTCAAAACCCCTTAAATCGAGTGGGGTCTATAGTATGGTAAATTGCTGACAGGAGAAAATAAAAAACAATTTATAGACACCCAGATTTTGGGTTAAAGTCACTTCGTAATGCTAAAATATGGTAATTTCGGTAGGAAATGAGTCTAGGTCCATCAAAATACCAATAAGGGGTTGGGACTTTATATACGGGATACAACAGGCTCGACTGATGTTTTTAAATTTTTGAAGTAGCAGTGTCATCATACTACTTTTCCGACGTCAGACGCTTCTGCATCCATGGAAGCAACAGAAACATACAAAGATACAAGCGAATACATATGTCCTTTACAGCCATTGATTGTGTTTCAGGTTTGGTTCCCAGAGTTGCAGACGTTGTCGGATTGCACAATGAATTGACAGCTAAGCCAGAAGTAGTCATTAAGGTGCCCAATATGGCACCGTTCGATAACAGTCGGAACCCTAAATGCAAATAATGAAACACTGAGGGACACAATGTCGCCAAACATCCCGGCATTTGTGAAGTGTATGTAAATTTTATCATTTTTCTTGTCCAAGTTCCGCACAACAATATAACTACTCCTTTCAAGTTTCAGTATTAAAATGACTCCAATTTTTATCTCGGATTCTAATTAGAAGAAAATTCTCACTACCAATAGCGATACCTCTATAATTTGACATTTTGAACGGACTTGAATGAACCAAATCTTCCCATTAAAAATATTGTTTTATTGTTTTTTAGGCTTTTAACTACATTTTCCTAAAAAGTAACCGTAATTTCTTATTACGAAGTTTCGGATGCTGACATTCATAAAATGTACAAAATTATCTATTCAGGTCAAAGTTTAAACATAATCCAAAAATATAAAATTATAACCCTATTTGCGGTATTTTAAACGTTTTGGCCGCATTATCCCATTAAAGTGGCTGTAAATAGTCAAGTTTTTTTTTCAATCAGTAATGAGTTTTATATCGCTCAATTTGAAAAGTCTAAAAATTTTGGCCAGGAAACGCCCAGTAGAGGCATGATCAAAAATGCATGCCAAGCTCACTGTTTCCTTCGATTGCAATGACGTGGTGATAATGAATTTTTGTGACAA